TATCGCAGGCCCGGGCTACCCCTAGGACAGACAGGCCCTAAGCGGCCTATACTGCTATACGGTCCTATAGCCTATAGCCGGGTCCGGTAGAGGCCGAGAGGCCGAAACAGCAACGGTACCAGTAGGTCCAGTCAGTCCGGTCTAGGTCTAGGTTAGAGTAGGCAGTCTATAAGTCGGGTAGGAAAATTAGTAGGGGACTTTTGGCTTTTCATTTTCGCATGACTGCGTTCGTGGCCAACCAAGTTTAACAGCGCTGAATGTCTACAGTGGCACCTGCGACATCAGCTGTGTGAGGCAGCCATAGCTGGGGCTGTACTCAGCGCATCTATCCCCAGGGGATATCTGCGTCTGGCCGGACTATCGGAGGGTCTTCACTGGGTTCATGTGGGTACTGCTGCTGCGGTAGCAGCGCGGCAGCCATAGCTGCCTTCTTCATCGTCAGAGTGACTCATCGGGGAGTGGAGTAGGGAGTAGAGTGTGTGGTACTGAGGTGGCGAGATACTGGGTTAAACTCTGTAACGATAATTTGGGTTACTTGAGTTGAGTTGGCTCGCAGTGGCATATTGTGATTGGTTGTTGGGAGTACGTCAGGGAGAGAGAAACACTGTGTATTCTCCCCTTCTGTGCATGGTTGCTATTCCGCTGTTTATCTCTGGTCTGTGTGCAGTTGGACTCTGTCTCCTCCTCCCCTTTGTCTCATGCATGTATGGGCGTGTGTGAGTTCTTCTGTGTGTGAGTGGCAAACGAATTGTCAGACAACCAAGTTCATAACACCTGCACGAGCAGAAATTGGGCCCCGTAGGAAGTTGCTGCACGCAGCATCTTCAATCAACCAGTAGGGCCCAACTCCCGGTTGGTTGAAGACGCTGAGGCCCAGGGCTCAGGCAGCTAGGCCCCGGGCACATTCCGGAAGGGGCCCAGGGCGCAGCCAGTCCAGCAGGCTGCGAGCCTCGCAGCCAACACAGAGTGAGGCTGCCTCATTTCGTCATTCTGGCTGGCTGGATGCAGCAGTGCTGCTGGAGCGTTAGCTCGTGCAGGTGAGCCCCAGACAAGAGGGAAGAAGGGTGCTGGTGGGGCACGAGGAAGCTGCTGGGCCTGTCTCTTATACACATCTAGATGTGTATAAGAGACAGGTCCAGCAGGCTGCGAGCCTCGCAGCCAACACAGAGTGAGGCTGCCTCATTTCGTCATTCTGGCTGGCTGGATGCAGCAGTGCTGCTGGAGCGTTAGCTCGTGCAGGTGAGCCCCAGACAAGAGGGAAGAAGGGTGCTGGTGGGGCACGAGGAAGCTGCTGGGCACAGCAAAGCAGGAGGGTGCAGCAGCCATAGCCGGGGGAGGAAGGCGGTGGTCCTTGGGCGGAGGGGACTGTGAGGGAAGTCAGGGGGACGAGCAGTTTGAGAAGGCAGTCACCTGCTGAAGTGGAAGCGGACCATCCAATCGGAGTTTTCAAGTGTTTGCCGGGCCGATGATCTTCATAGCAGACCTATTGAGGATAGAGTCCAGGTCATAGGAGCTGTCTGTCTGTAGTCTGGGGGCCGAGCGCCAATGTAGGAGAGCAATGTTGCTGACATTGGTGATTGGAGGTGAGATGAGGGACTTGCTGACTTGACAAAGTGCGACCGGGACTGGACAAAGTGCGACCGGGACTGGACAAAGTGCGACCGGGACTGGACAAAGTGCGACCGGGACTGGACAAAGTGCGACCGGGACTGGTTACCGCTGACTGAGCTGGGTTAGTCTGCCCACTTGCCTACGGACTGCATCTTAGACACATGAAGGGCCAGTTCCGGATCTTCCGGAAGACTGTGGACTTGACCCTTCGGTACTGTAGCAGCTACGACTCCTACCACTGCTAAGACCTTTAACCCACAGACCTACGCTTCAAGACCCAACGACCACCCTACCTACATCAAACAAACAGGCAACTTTCGAGGTACAGGTTGCGGGTTCAAGCACACACTTGTCAACTGATACTGTACACGGGTAAGGGCGAGGTCTGGGGATAGAGCCCTGAAAACTGCATCTGCTACTGCAAAGGAGAAAACCGTTTCAAAACTGGTTTTGGTTGCTTTTTGATAAAGTAGAAATTCAATACTGACGTGCTTGCTCTTGCCTCCCAGCTACCAGACAGAACCTGCTGCTCCGTCTATAGGTGCAACAGCGACAGTATGCCATTTTGCATTCACAGTAATCACGATTCAGGTACATGTCCCCCTTTTGTACATGTAATGGGTCATTTTTATGAGAAACAGCTTCTAGAGGCAAACAGTAAGCAATACTGAACATGCTTACAGGTAATGACGAGTTCAGAAAATAAAGTTAGTCAATCGAGGTCAAGGGTCCAACATTGGGAGAGGTATCTGCCTGGAGGGCTAGGGCGACTAATGAAAATTTCATGGAACGCGTTTCTGGCAATACGCAAAACCAGGGTCAGACGTATGCAATGGCTTAATCACGTACAAGGCATTGTGAGTCCATTTGTGGTGGAGTAAGTGAAGGGTGCAGGCCAACACGCGTCCTTTTGACGAGTGCTGTTCGATCTGTGTCACGGGCATGCCAGAAGACATCACCCACTGGCCCAGCAACTCTGGCAGCACGCCAGACGACTTTGGAATAGGGCCACTCGCAATGACCTCACAGAGGACGCACTGGCTTTGCTCACGAGCTTCGCGCAACCCAGTGGAATGAAGAAGTGGGCGCTGAAGTTTTACAGGAGGCTCCGCCTGCTGACACTCTGGGTGGTCTGGAAACAAAGGTGCAAAGAAACCATTGACCTGCAACAAGTACCCGGGGAGAAAGCATAGGAGGATCTCAAACAGGCGCTGGAGGCCGAATACCATACAGACCGGCATAAAACAAGATAGCAGATTAGGCGGGAGCCTGAGAAGAGATGAGACATCGTGGCCGTGCTTGCGAAAGATACTCTGGGAGACGGGAAACTCGAGACCCTTGATGGGCATCTGCTCACATGTGTATGGAGGCTCTCGGTGCAGGCGAAGGGAGATAGCAGCATGCTGGAGGAAGCCCGTTCACAACCAAATGACATAGCAGCCCGAAACTTGAGCCTGGCATTGGACTAGGCATCACAGCCGGCAGAGGAGGGTCACGTTACGACACAAAAGGCGCCCCGTTGCATGGCGGGGTCACACACAGTGAGAACTTTTACACCATCCAGTCAACTATAGATTGCCGCCCAGCCCGGTCAGCACTAGGACTAGCTTTCACACAGCCCGAACAGTCCACACCCTGGGTATCCTGGGTGGCCAGCCCTGTGTAGAGCCGGGGCTGATTCCACGGATGCTGACCCCGGCAGGGCTCACGTCTACTCGGTTAGAGAGGGTTGGGGGGGAGGGGGGGCCTATAGGGGGTCCCCACTCAGTGGCAGACACTGCAGAGTTTAGGGTTTAAAGACCACCGAGTTCCCCAGGAGAGAGGTCAGGGCTTTCAAGCCCCCAGTTATGTAGGGTGGCAGGCTGGAGTCGTTTTCTCACTTCTTTGATTGCAAGTTGCCACCAGTTCCATATCCATTCTGGGGATAAAACAAAAAAAAGAAACAGGTCCTTACGGCCCTGGCTCCATATCCATGTCCATTCTGGGGAGCATCAGTCCGGTTCCTATTCCACCGGCAAGTCAAAAGTACAGCAAGAACACCCTCACGCTTCCTTCCATTTGGCCGAAGGACCCCCGAACAGAGGACTGATTGCTCCAGAACTCTGGAGGATTGACTGGTAAGTTTGTTACCCCAAAGCTGCGAGATTGAACGTAGAAGGCTAGAACCAAGAAAGGAATAAGAGATATAGGAGACAAGAGAGTCTTCTTTCACATCCTTTTTTTTTTTTTTTGCTTTCACTGTTTCACATCCCTCTTAAGATTGAGGAGACACCAATAACACCTCCAAACACGATAGGCTATGAAGTAGTATGAACAGAGACACTCATTTTTAAGTGTTTGGGGGGCAAGGGGGGGTGTGCCTCTGGGCGGAAAACTGGGGTCCCTGTTAACCATCACTTGTGCCGAACCGAATCCCATTTCATTGGCAGTTATAACTTATAAGTCATTTCACTTCAATTCATGTTTTCCATACCATGTGCATTCTGAACAGGTCGGCCTGGTCCTGTGATGACGATGGGCAGATGTCGTCTCAGCTAATTTACGATCCTCCAGGTTTTCCAACCAGCTGAGATCTCACATGCTGTGAACGCACAGGTGATCTAGTTTTGATTCCTGTGTTATGGCCACAATCCAGATTTCCTGCTGTCCGGATGGTCTGCTGACTGTGGTCATGAAACTGGACGTCAACAGCCCTGTCCAGAGTAATTGAGAATATATGATTTCAAACTTCCTGCCTTGCAGCAACACAAGACGAACAACTTTTGGCTGCGGGTCATCTTGAGATTCGCAACCAAAATTAGGAAGAAAAGCACAGTTGTTTTCTGCACCTCCTGCTCCACGTCAGATCCAGATGTGTGGACTTAGTCCAGACCATCTGGTTTTCAGTGTGCAAACGGGTCCTGTGTGGACTTAGTCCAGACCATCTGGTTTTCAGTGTGCAAACGGGTCCGGTGTCTGCGGTGCCCATCGGTTCTGAAAAGCATCGAAAAATAAAAGAAAAATTGAAATAAAAAAGGAAAACGGAATGGAGCTACGCACATAAGGTCTTACTCGGTTTATTTTACTCATATTTACTATTTACTGCAAAGTGGGAGTCGAGCAGCTGCTGTGAGTTGGACATATCACCTGGGAGTTGCTGGTCCATTAATCAGCATCTCTGGGGGTACATATTCTGCTGTGCCTACGAATGATGATGCTCGTTCATCTGCACACAGAGGTACAAGGAGACAAATTCCAGGCCCTGTTTCGTTAGAGTGAAGAACGACCACAATCCCGATCACAATCCCAATCTCATTCATGTGAAGCAAATGAAAAACTTTGCTGCTAGGACCAATACTACAGATTCCTTTTGCAAACTTGCTGTCATGTTCGTTAAACACGCACGACTCTGCCGACAAAAAGAACACAAGAAAGCAAACACGAGTTACAAAACTGCAATAAACTCAGTTCAAAATCCGCACAGACATCAGCAAGGGTCATAACCTGTGGTCCAAGTCTAGATTCAGTGGTCAAAAGTTGCATCGCTTGTATTAGAGGGGTATGAGAAAAGTCCCTGGGGCAACAGGAATAGGGTCCAGGGTCAAACGAGGCTGTCTGTGCCCCATGCCAGGACTCCAGGAAAATCAGGAGTCAAGCCCAAACCCGGGAAGAGTAGGCCAATACTCAGAGATTTCTCAGCAGTCGACCGCAGCCACAGATCTAGTGCACAAACGAAGGCTGTCTGTATTGCCCCCGGAGTTTCCAGGGTCTACTGGGTGCAGGCAGACATTGGCCGAGGGCAAATCTGGGCCACTCAGATCTAGAAAACCCCACTGTCAGAGCAGGCACACTGAGGCAGAGGCCAAGCCCAGTCCACTCTACAGAAGAGTTGCTGTTCCATACACATCCAAACATGACAAGTATAGTGCAGATCCAAGGAGTTGACTAGAAGCAAGAGACTACATAAACGAAGCAGAAGACTGAACATACATCTGGCACAGCAATATCGGAATGGACAATGCACACTCATACATCCATCACACGGTGAGAAGGGGGCAGCGCATCATTCAAGGAAGGGGCGCTGTCCCCTGATCATCCTCAGACGAAGTAGGAGGGAGATGGAAACGAAGGGGGAAGAGAGAGGCGAGAGACCAAGTCGCCAATGTTGCCAATCCCGAATGTCCCCGAAGTCCCAGTCTCAATACAACGTCCAAAAACAGGTCTTCGCCCGAAATACCAGACCAGGGCAATGGCCCGAGTGTCCCCAAGTTCAGACCTCAGAACACACACTCTCTCTCTCTCTCTCTCTCTC